CGTTTTGTATATGTTCTGAAATGTTGGTTGAATGTTAGTATTTTTTGTCACACGATTATACTAGTAATTCCTATTAAAATCGCACTTCTACATTTCATACGTATTTTTTGCACGATAAGATTTATAGCATTTCGTGGAATGGAAAGCGTTACCACGTGCTCTTAGATTAATTACACTTTCTGTTTGCGGTATTAGTTGTTGTGAATGAACTATAACAGGAAATGACACAAACGATAAACTCTTAATCTTTGTTACAACTATTTACATTATTTATAGAAATAATTATTAAAGAAATAGAATTTAATGCGCCTAATTAGTTTGAAAAAAAATAGATAAAATATTTAAATTTAACTTAATTTTTATAAAATATATAACTGTACAGATATCGTAATCTTTTTAGGAAAAAAAAAATTATTATTGATGTACGCGTAAATAAAAATTTTTAAATAAGTATTTAATTTAATATCATTATATAAAAATAGAATAAACAACTCAGAATTCTGTTAGAATCCAGATTTCAATTTCATTATATAACATTACAACAATGTCAATGATTTTAATTGTTCTATTACATAACGTGTTATATAATCATTATTAGTACTTTTATTTCTGTACACAACTTATCTAAAATGCCTGATAAATAGTCATATCCAGTGTTAATATAGCAGATCGCTAATTGGAACTAAAGTTCTAACGTTGCATCATTTTCCACTTCTGCATTAAAGTTTTAATTCCTTCAAAACCTCGAAACTGTGCTAGATTAATGTGTACTATTTCCAAATTGTGTTACGAAATTGCAGTAGCGGATATCATAAAACTCGAAATATGTTGACGGCTCTGCCATAAAATGAAGTTCGGGGGACAAGCATAATTGCCTCGCTAAATAATGCCTTATGATCCCTAGAGCTTTTTATGTACGAATAAATTATCGTGCATCACCAGATGTGATGTGTTCTCGACATGCAGACACGTGAATTTCGCGAGTGAATCTCATCTTGTTTTGTTGCCACATGTCGTCAATGAATGAAAAACTTCGGTTAGATGCAATAAGTACAATCTAATTAGTATTCACGAATTTATAATGACATTATAATGACTAATATTATCTCACACATAATCGTGTCACTAATATTATTTTATAATATTAATTTACATATCATTTTTACAAAAAATATATTCTTTTTTTATAAAAACATCAGATAATTAAATTGTACTAAAAATTTTTTAAAATATATTAAACTTAATAATAAATCTATACATCTCTCTCAATTAATTGGATTCTTCGTTTACATCTAAATACTATGTAGTTTTAATGATCTTGACATGATATTAAATAGGCTGATAGCTATTATTTAAATAGTATTGTAATTCAGTGAAGCAAGTAATGACTGCCAAGGGATACGTAAAGCCTGTGGAACTTATCGCGGCTTGCATAATATTCACATTCTGTTCGCAAATTTAAGCAAGAACAATGAGAACTTTCATATAATAACAATTCATATATAAACAATATATACAATCAATCATTTAAATTACTTGTAAATTAAACACTTAAACTGCGCAATATAATAATCACACATTTTTTCCTAAATAATGCACTGTAATAAAAGTAAAAAGTTAACAGTATTTCTCGCTTCAACTTACATTTTATATATCCATTAACCAAATTTGATGCATGCATTTAAGATCAAGATCTATAGTAAAACCAGTGAGATTCGCAAGATATACTCTCTATACGCATAAATTTTCTATATATTCCCCAAGACCTGGAGAATGATGTTTATGTATTTATGCAACATTATCGCTGCAGTATAGTCGCATTCAAATGTTTCGCAATACTGCAGTATGTGTCAAGATGTTACATTTAATGGACTTAACATATTGTATAAGGTATTATAAAAATATATTTAAATTTCTCAAAATTATATTTTTTAGCAAAGCAAAAGAAAGTAAAATGAATATTATTATTTAACTAAACACAAAAAAATTTTAAACTTAACTTTTATAGATCGAAAACAATTTGACAGTTAAAACTATAGTGAACAAAGGAATTTATTCGACTTGTCTTATGCAAGAGCCAAAAGCAACGTTTTTGGGTTTGACACGAAAATAGAATATAATGGAAGGTGATATTGCGTATTAACCGTAACGAATTTGTCTGAAGGTCGCAACAGAGAAATTAAATTAAAATCTGCATTAGGCTAAAAAACGCGCCAATGTTTTTTTTAATCTAATGCTCTCATGTAGATAAAAATAAAATGATAAATTTGTAGTCGATCACAAATCAGAGCATGCGAGGCGATATGAAATGTCATAGGCTACTTTATATATAACCGTTGGATTCAACAGACTGATGATACTTAATTTCCATTTTATAACTTCTAAGCATTATTTTTTCGTATCGTTTACTATCTGTAATAGTTATTTGTTTTAATATAAAGTGATTTATGTATATATTAATTCTTTCTATTATAAAATAACTTAATAAAAAGAGAGAAACAAAAACAAATGATAAAAAAATTCGTTTCGCTAAAATATGATAAATGTAATTTTTATTTTAATGAGTAATAAAATTTCCGTTATTTAAATAAAAATTATTTCTATATGTTCTGTACAGTTTTTACATGTTTTTTATTTACATTTACGAAAAGTAAATGTATATTTGATAAAGGAACATCGCTTTTTTGTTGCTATATTTGGAACAATGATCGTATCGATATCGACTCAATATACCGATAACATTCATGTATACATGAAAAATGGTACATCCTTCCGTGAGACTAAAAGATTTGATAAAATTAAATTTCCTAAAAAAACGAATTCATTTAAAAGTTATTTATAGATCTATATGTCTTTCCAATGAATACACATAAAAACGGATTGGACAGAGTGCCAAATATGTCACAGGTGGTTTTATAATTAACTAATGTAAACATAAATTATTATGAAGCATTGCAACGATAAAAATACTCAGAATAAGTTAATTAGGAAATATAATGCTTGAATTTCGTTATCGGTGCCAAAATAATTCTAAAGTGTAATAAGCGGAAATTAAAGTATGAAGGAGTCTCTTCTATTTCTTTTTAATTTCAAAATTAAAAGGGCATTAGCTATCGAAACTTAATAACACAACTCTATTTCGCATACAAATGAAGATTGTTAAATTCGTCTAAAAAACGCAATCAAGTGACGGATTCGATCCATTATTGCTTTTTCATGAAGTAATTAATTAAAGCAGCTTTTCGGCATTTTAAAATTACGATACAAAGAAGCACAAGACAGCTTTTACTCAAAGTAGTATATCTATTGCATTGCCTAAAAATGTTAGCCATTCCATCAGATACAGTAAGTCACAGGATGATGCCAGGTTTTCATGCAAGGTTACAGAACGCACGCAAGCTGCAATCTAATCGATGTTGTACTCGTAATTCTGAATATGTCGTAATCCGGAAAGCGAGCATGCAAGTCTTTTGAATTTACTTTCTCGTTTTCCAGCGACCAATAATCGTACAAGCATTTATATGTCATACAATGCTTATATTCATATAACATTCACTTCACTTTACACATGCGGATCTTTTCTATTACATATATTTTCACTTCAAATATTGTTAAAATTATTTTTAAAAATTATCCAAAAAAAAAAGAAAATATTAAAGAAAATGTTAAAAAAAACAATATATAAAGAAAATATTAAAAAATATGTCTTTAAGTTTTACTTCAAAATACAATATGTATTAACAAAAGGAGATTTTAAGCTATGCGAAGATAGAAGATTCCCGTATGCTTTCAGAAGTAATGTCTCACAGAAATTTGAATAAAGTACATGGACAAAGTGATCGAAATGCCTCGCGAACTATCGAAGTGTCACAATACAATGGCGCAACTCCAGCAAATTCCTTGATCGAAGTCGATCGATCTTTCATTATGACACTTCCAAATCGGTTTCCAAGCGTCGTTCAAGCGATTTGCGCCAACACGAGCCGTCTGTCACATTGAACACCTTGAGATATTCATAGTTCTACCATATCACCGTCTCGCTATTAATACTTTGAGACAATTTTAGTTTTCAAATGTATGCCAAGAATAAATACACAGTTATGTCGCGACACTTAAATGTAAATATAAATTTTATTTCTCTGAAGAAGTTCGATCGTGAGAGACAATCGTGAAATCAAAAAATCAAGCAAAGCACACATCGTCAAATCACTTAAATTCGAGACCATTTATGTCTGACAATTTAAAGTTTCCACAGAAATATGTATTTTATTATTCTCTGTAATCTCGTACCAGACCGCATGAATGGAGAAGGCCAAGTAGATGATAATATAATAAGAAATAGAATAAAAGATACGATGAAATCTCTAATCTGAAAGAAATAAATTGAAGTACTTCTAGCGACACACATTCCAAAATTGTCTTATTGGAACGATATGCGTGCCAAGTCGGTAACTCGAAGTATAAAAGACTACGAAATAAAACAATCGTGACAGTTGAGTGTGGTAGACGGTTTTCGCTTTCAATTCTTTGTTTCAACAAGCATGTTATGACGTTGTAACTATTGACCCGCGAAAACTCTCGGGGAAAAAAGTTACCTTGTCTGTCAGTCACGAACTGTGTGATTCTTGGCAGGCAAAGAACGACGGACGACGTCAGAAAACTACCAATTTCGTAGTGAAAAATAGAAGTTCCCCGCTGAATTCGTGACCAGAATTTATCACTTACAAAAATGTTACGTTTACCGATATAATGCAAAAAAAATACCATCATTATTGTTGAATTTAATACGTTTTTAATGCAAGACATTCATGCAATCGTCTAAATAATTAAATAATAATTATATCATTTTAATTACGGAATTTTAATTTAATATTTGGATAATAAATAAAATCATTACATTTTAATTATCGATTTAGTTACCTAATTATTTATTACGTCACTTTCAAATAATATGATTATCTTTACTTTACATATTCAATAAAAAAGAATACACTGCATTTACTTGTTTTTGATTCTTTCATTCGTCTTATAAATTAACTTTCGTAAAGATACATATCAGACTATTTTGTATTCTATAAGCACTACTGCGAATACTTTTTTTCAATTCAACTCACGGATTAGTTGAAACCGTAACGCTAATAGATCTATGATATGCGAAAGAATGCGCTATTTCTGTTTGTGATAATCGATTTTTTTAAAACTTTTTTTTATTGGAATAATAAACGTTGCTTCGCAGCTTATTCATGATACCAAAATGTCACATTTCTGTAATTAGCGTTGTAATTAATTATATGGATATTTAGGGCAATGCGTTTGTATATACGAAAATCTAGTCGGCAAATAAACATTTGGTTATACGTTTAATTTTTTAACGGATCGAATTTTAACAATTCTTATTTTATTCTAAAAATTCCTACACATTGAAAATGAATTAAACACAATAAATAGCTTTATATACTGTTTACACTTAAATTATCCGAATAAAGAATGCAGAACATTGTCGAGATTCTTTAAGTTGATCAGAAGAAAATGCGAGATATTTATAATAGATAATTTGAATATACATTAAGAGCTCGACTTTATCTACTGGTCAGTGATTTTACGAGCGTGATAAGAAGCGTTTGCACGTTAGTGAATCCAAAATCGCGTTTTCGACTTTCGGAGTTTAATTTAGTGAAGATTCATAACGTCTTTGTTCTGTTCTCCACATAATCGCCCTCCCTTACAATCGCATTATAAGTATTACTTTTATTTTTTATATAATATTTGTTTCATTATAAAAAGTATAAAAGAAATTGATTTTGATAGAAATATTATATTATATATAAATTAATTATTAAAATATTATTTCATTATAAAAATTATTTCAAATAAAATTCCTTTTGAAAATTCTTTCAATATCACAAAAGCTCTAATTTTAAATCTACTAACAATGCTACCAAAAATGAATATCCTCATTCATGCAGGTAAAATAATATTTCCTTCAGAAACGGATATAACAGCATCGTTTCATATTATACGATTTATTAAAACCAAAATTTCTAATTTGATCGCGAGCGTCTCGAAGTTCTTGTCTGCGCCAGAGCGCTTCTAAAATAGATATTATCATCGCTAATGATGCTCGCCAAATGCGACGATGCGCAATAACTTAGTCGCTCTTTCGACAACAAAGAGATATTATCGGAACTGTACACGGGAGCAATTACTTCGCGATCATGAATTAGGCAGAAATCGCATAGCGACTCCCACGTGTCTCGTGTCTCTAGTTGCGGCGCGTCGCGGGAGGCCGCGGTTTCCTCGACCCTGAGGAGCGTCGCGACGCCTCGTGCACGTCTCAGTGCAAGAGTGCCGTTCACCAGGAGTGCGCCGTCGGAGTCTCCACTCGTTCTGCCATTCCTCTCACCCTATCTCTTCAAAGAGAGAAACGCGATAGCACGAGCTTTCACTTGGGTCAACCTCGCGAGTGCGTTTTCAGAACTGTACCCACCCTCGACTCCAAGTAGCATCAAAAAGGCAATCGCGCTATCAAGCTGGCACCGCATGTCTGGATCAAGCGCAAGCCCGGACAAGCAGAGATAATAACCTTCGTGGAGGGACCTTGACGTATCACCGTCACGGTACACATCGCGTTACAGTGAATATTTCAATACAGTATCGATCTACCGCGTGTAAAATACGTGTGTGTCGTGAGTGTCTGTGCTCTGCTCTCAAATCCCGTGTCGTCGTGTTTTCTCCGTAGAAAAAACCTTCCTTTCATCTCGCGCTATGTATATTGGTACACCATTGTACGCGCTGTCATCCTGTCACCCTGTGAATCCGCTTGTCACGATAGAGTGCGTGCGTCCGTGTCACGCGTGTGAATATTTCAACGTATTATCGATCTACGCGGAACACGTGTTCCGTGAGTATCAACGTGATACCGATCATTCTTATCATCTCGATAGTCCTGTGATCAATGTTATCTTGAATTTTTCACGCGGTACTAATTTACCCGAATGTCAACAGACTATCTGAAGTAGTAAGATCGCGGTTTGCACAGGCCACTATCTTTAATATATCTCGAATCGCAAGATCAAATTACATTTTTATTTCAGTTAAGAAGTTAAGAAATTCAAGCTAATTTTCGCGCATAAAAACACAAATAAAGTCGGTCATTTCAGTCGCGGTGTTTAAGTACGAAACTGATCCAAATGTCACGGCATGACCGTCACGCTGTTTGTTTGCGTTACCGCAGAGACGCCTGAATCCGAACTTTTCCGTCTAATCGCGTGTAGTGTGAATATTACAATACGAAATCGATCGACTGCAACACATGTTTCATAAATTCCTCTGTACAACTTGTCGTGACTTTATTTTTCTTCGCCTGTCTACTGAATCAAGTAAACGCGTCAATGAAAATTGAGTATATCCGATATATGAATGATAATTTCCTTTTAAGTACCTAACGAAAGAAATTACGTATTGAAATTGTGCGGAACAAAGTTCAAACTCTCTGGCGAAGGCTGCAGTCACTAATGTCGGAAACATAAATAGAAAAAAGTTCTTAACAACCGTCATTTTCTATTATTCCATGCTTTATCCTTGCAACGTGCGCCTGTGCACTCACGCCAATCAAGTTTCTTGTGAATATTTCAATATAACATCGATCTACAGAAGCTAAGCAGATATTCCGAGTATTCGCTCTTTTATAGCGATAACGCCGCTGTTCCCGGTGCGTTGCATAATCGCGATATAATTCCATGCAGTTTATACGTAAGATAACTTTCTATCACCCTTTCATCGCGGAAGATTAAACATTCAATAAATTGCAGCAACGCGTCCGCTTCTTTTTTTATCATGACTCATTATATTTCTCATATATTTATAACTTATTAAATTATTATATTCATGTGAAAGTATATTTCCTATATTATAATTTTATTACTTACGCACGACAAACCAACATTTTTCATTTTATCGCGGATTTGATGTTTGAACGTTGTTTATATGAATATTTAATACGGTTCAACTATGTGTATTATCCATCGATTATATACTTTTACCCATTTTCCTGCTTTCGTTCTCGTCGTATAATAGTGCATTCATTTGTCACTCATTGTGTTCTCATTATGTTATAAAAAATATTCATGGATCTTTAGATCGTTCCCTATGTATAATTACAGCTTTTAATCAACTGTGAGTTTTATGTCGGTGTTGTCTCGCTCGTAATGGCATTCCGACAGCGATGATAGACGACCATCTCGCCCTTGTACATATTATCGCGAAGACAGCTGCTCGCTTGCTTCCTTCGTGTAAAACTTCGAAATTTGCATGGGATTTGACCGACTCTTCCTTCAGTAGTCGCAGCTGTTAATGATTGGTCAAGATAGTGTGACTATCGAAATTTCGTAAGAAAATATTTATAACTTTCGAGTATAAAGTTCTCTTCTTCGAAGTAAAAAAATTAATATCGTACTAAGAGTGTTTTGTACTGTTATACAGAAAAAAAATTAAAATCCTAATGAAATTAGAATAATCGATCGGAATTAAAAAAATATCAAAAAATTTTCTTGTTCGGTTCATAGTCCTTTATCTTGTCTTTTTAATTTTTGAAAAAATTCGTTTGAAATTCGGTTGTTAAAACTTATTGTAAAACTATAATATACAAGTTATATTAACTAAAATAATAAAAATAAAAAGAAAGTATTCGATTTATAATTTATAATTTAACACTAAAGTGATTTTTAAAAAATTAAAGAGTGATACAATCTTGGATTAATTTAAGTCAACTTGGTGTTGAATTTTGAAATATTTGAGTAGAATACTTTTTTAAATAGAATAATTGTAGTTAAATTTTGAAATATTTGAGTAGAATATTTTTTTAAGTAGAATAATTGTAGTTAAAACATGATTAACATTTCGTGTCTAACACTTAAAATTTAATTAGTTATTATAATGACAAATTAGATTATAATAATAAATACTGATTAGAATAATATTCTTGATATTTATGTGATAATTACATATATATGTTTACAGCCACACTTTATGACAGTAATGATACAGCGCTTTAGTGTAAATCCAGGGATAAATCTTGATCTCGGCACTTGTTTTACTACCAAGAAAAGTTGAATTTTCTCCACGGTACGTGACTCGATAGTAAAACAAGATCAGAAGATTTTGTAGAAATGAAAGATAAATTTCAGTAGTTCGTTGCTACAGCATTGCAGCATTCGCGCAATTTGTTTTTCTCGTACGTAATTAGTAACTAAAACGTTTAACCAATTGAACCACTTGTTTATTTGTTTCAAAATTCAATTTTCGAAGTAGGTACTCCCTTACACTTATTCTCACAATTTTTTACAACTCATACATTTAATTTTAGATTAAAAATCAATAAATCGTACGCACAATTCATACATGGTTAGAATATATTAAATTATAATATGTCAATAACTTCAAATTTTCATCATTTTTGTTTTATATATTTCTAATTTTCAATTTCGAAATGTTTGAACATATTATATTACAATTAAATGGATATAAAAATAATGCTGTAGCGAAATTTATTAGAAAACCTTTCCTATTTAGATATTCTAACATTTTTTAAGACGTATACGTCACTTTTATTGGAACATTTTATGTAAGAAGTAGAAACGGCAGTCTTGCTTTGAGTTCAATAACTAATATAAACTCACGGTCACGTACCTCTTCCTAACTATAGATCAAATAAAATAGTAAGACATTCACCTCGTTAACTAATTGTCTCGTACATAGCGATCAGGTACGCGTTCAAAGAAAAAGTTTAAGCAGAAAAAACTTAATCTCATTTCCCAGTAATATCGAAGAACTGATCCTAGAATACTGGAATACTAAAATCGATCTTAAAGCACGTGTGTATTATTGGAAAATCATTCGAAAAACATACTCTGTAAACTTTAACTATCGAATCAAATGTTTTAGTACATATTTTTTTGCATATTTTAAAAACCGTTTTTAAAATTTAAGTACTGTAAAAATAACATTCCAGCAAAATTCCTCAGAAAATTATTTTCATAAAAATATTATAACAATGATATATATTTGAAAATTACGGTGAAAATTAAAGCATTGTTAATGCATTATTAATATCAATTTGAGAATAGTAGTTAGTATTTTAAAATATGAGGAGATTTTATTCATCAGAAGATTACAGAAAATCTTCTTGGCAGTGCAGCCAATATATTCTAAAAATATTCAAGAAATAGGAGTCAATACGAATTGCAATCTTTTACCTTTGTCATTATCAAGTAAAATATTGAGCATTAAACTGAATCGAAAGTAATCTCTTGTTTTCACGCATTTTACCTTGCATATATCTGTGACGCTACCGTGACAAAGCAGTCTACTTTAAATCAATCGAGAGACTCGCTATTAAAGCTTGTGTCGTTTCTACGACGAGACAGTTCTCCCACGAAGAGGCAAACGTTAGTTGACGCGCGCATTACCCGTGCCATATTTAATCCGACGTTATGTGTTACTACTTTGCGGTTAATTGAAATTTTATTTTTACAAATTTAATTTTTTGAAAAAATGTAAACATCATTAAGCATATTTAATGACTTTAAACCGAAACTTTTAATGTAAACTGTATAAACAGTAAAATATTAAATAGCGTGGATTATTTTTAATAAAAGCAAAAAAATATATAATATTATTTAATATTAAAAATACTATGTAAATGAATATTTAATATTGTTAATGGATATAATAAAACTAAATTAAAAAATGGATATAATAACCGCAAAAAACTGATAATACGAACTTTATTATGACATTATTTAAAATGTATCGAACTAAAAGATTATATAAAAAAATTTATGTGTGAGTGATTATCTTGTGCAACAAAATTATCGTTATCTTCTTCGATGATCTCGGTTTAACCAATCAACTTCTTAATTTCATCAAGATTATCGAAGTGCATAAGATATATGCATAGAATAATAAAGTACTGTTCCAAATCAAAAGACGAATTGCGATGGTGTTTTCAGATAATCAAAAGTTCTACGCTTTAAATCGTTCAGTATTTTCCGATTTTCGTAATGTTTCGCTCGCACGCCAGTAAAATTTATTCGAAAAGTGAAAAAAGACACAAACGATTCGCGATATTTGCGTTTCATTCAGTTTTAACAAATTATGTATTTATTTATTCTATATCAGTTATATATATTAGGTCATTTAAAAAGTATCCGCGGTTTTTTTTTCAATTTTTGAATGAAAAAACCGCGGATACTTTTTAAATGACCCAATATTAAACTTCTCAATTAATTAAAAAATTATTCTTTTAAATCAACTTTAGACTTTCTCTAATTTATAACAAATTCTATATTTATCATATATTTTCGAACATATAATAAGAAAAAAATAGAATCAGAATATACATATACAAAACGTATCTAAAGAATACTTATATAATCATATAAAAATATTAAAACATATTGTATATTAAATTATGAAAAGAATTCTGTATTAAACTTTAATGTGAATTATCATTCAAATTATCGCGAAGATTATCTAAAGTGGATTTAAGATAGCCTTGACTGCACTCCAGGCATGGAATGACTCGGAAAGACTACAACCTGTACTTACATATGTGAGTCTCTGAGGAGATAATTTTCAAAATGCAAATTTTAAACTAAAAGTTTCATACAGGTTTTTAATTAGATACGTATAACATGTAGTGAATTCTAATCTTTTGTTTTTTTTTCCTTTAATTAAACTTCCTTGTACAAGCTTATATTCGTTTACATCTTTATGATATTCTTTCAAACTTCTTTAGCAATTTTAACTTTCCTTAATTGATCCTTCTTATTTGATCCTCTTTTCTAAATGTTTTATTTGCATCTTCCTTTTTCTAGATAAATGCTTCATATCTTAATTTTTCAATCTTTTATGTGTATAATTTTTCTTCTTATTTTTTTTTATTTTTTGATCGTTTTTCTTAATATATCTTATCTTTAATTTTTTGTCTTCTTATTTTTAATTTCTTTTTTCAATCTTTTTTTTAATATTCTTTTTAGAGCCGAGAATTAAAAATTAAAAATTAATAATAACAAAATTCCTTTCATTGTGAAACATTTTTTAAATTAATAATATCATTTAATAATATCATTTTTTAAATTAATTTAAGTCAGACAGTAACAATTGCGCATGCTAAATATATAATTAAATATTTAATACACATAATTAAATATTTAATATAAAAATTTAATATTGCATCTGCTGTGTAATATTATTTTTACAGTAATGCTGATATTATTATCAATTTGACAAAAATACTTATTAAAATGTTGACACTTAAACTTACATACTTTCATTTAAAGAAATTTTTACGTATATACATGTAATGCGTAGATTTTACTTATTCTCAGTATTTTGGAGTCAAGCGTCGATTATCCTTCGAGAAGTTCGACCGAAATCGCGCGGTAAAAGATCGTTACTATTCTTCTTGTTCGACCTAGATCAACTACGTGAGTGCTTTAGAACTACACGGCAGCAGGAAGTCGGTAAAAGTTAAGTGCACCGATCATTCGCTGCCGGGGTTCACTGTCAGTGCCATCGCACGAGCAGTTTAAATCCCAATTCCAATGTCGTCCGACGTTGCATCACGTCGGTTTCTTCTGTGTTTGAGCGCGACATCGTATGCCCAAGTTGGCGTTTGTAACGTGTCAAGATTGTTGTACTCGTAATATATTTCGCCATGAGTTAACGAATCAGCGTGTCCAGAATTGTATGAAAAAAAAGGAAAAAAAAAAAGAAAAAGAGAAAACTTTTATCGGAGAAATCACAAAGTCTAATATGAAATCGTTTAACGAGGCTTAGGAAAGGATTAAAAAAAAAAAACACTAAAACCCCCTCGTATCCTCTTGTGATTGTCGCGCACCGCCACCACCACCACTGCCTCTCTTCCACGCGCATTCTCGAGCACTCGTCGAATCGACCGAGCGTATCGAATGGTCGAGTAGAAGTTAAAAAAAAAAGCCGAGAAAAAATAACACACATACACACCACGAGAAATACGCCGACAGCGACCTGAGATCGTGTACCGAAGTCAGTCATGAATCTTATGTTCCGCAAGAACTTCGGCGAGAAGGGACTCGGTGGTGGCGGACTAGGTGGAGGACTAGGGGAAGTTCGGCCTGCCCTGAGCACCACTACTTACGGGACCAGCGGGGCCTCATTCGGCCAGATAGGAACGCGTTTTGGCGCTACGCGCGGTGGTATCGGCCAGTCTGTGGTCAGTAGCGTACGTGGACCCGTACGACGCAGCCGGGAATTCGGAAACTTTCCGTCAATGGGCGATCACGAGCACCAGGCACATGGCTATCGTACTCACTTATTCCTATCGCCGCCTGCAGGTGGGGCACTTGGTTCACCACCCGAAGAACCGGGCGAGCGACTGGGTCCGCCGCCACGTCGTAATTCGGGCCCCCATGTAATTAAATGGGGTGGAGGTGGATCTGTCAATTCCACGCAGGGTGGTCAGACCGGCAATCAGGCCAGGAGAAAGCAAAATCAGATCGGTCAACAGAAAGAATCTTCCGACTCACCAAGCCCGACTGCGTCTAGGCAGGTGAGTACACTTAAAATCCATAAGAAACTCGAAGAAACTAAGAAAATAATTTGGATCTTTTCTAAGAACAAGAGTAGATGATAGATAGTGTCGGCTGATTGTTGTGTCGTTTATAGAAAACAATTAAAAATGATAAAATTGTATCGTATGGAGACAAAATGTACTAAATTTGTTAAATTTAATAAATTTAACAAATATTTATTTGAATAGTACTAACTGAATATTCACTTATAGTAAATAAATATTTACTCAAAAAATAATCAAAGTTAAATTAATGGTTCTTGGATCAAATATAAATATATCTTTATATTGGTAAATATTTAGCACTATTCAAACAAATATTTATTAAAATTTAGTACATTTTTTGCGTACCCATATATATTGTTACATGCATTACACCAAAGATTTTCCATAAACCACGCAATAATTGCATAAATCCACAATTTGTCTGTCATGCGGTTTTAGTCTAACGTTTAACAACGTTTCTAATACAGTTAAGATTTCTTATTTTAAAATCATCTTAATTTTCTTTTAAATGCATAGCAATATAGAATATTCAAAAAAAGATACAAAAAAACAGAAGAGTAGGTATTTCAATTTATCTATTTGTTAATCTAGAGATAAACTTGTTAAATAATAATAAATTCATACTGGCGTACGATGTGAAATAGCACGCTAATAAACTATCAAGTATTTATCTCGCAATGTGAGTCACGCACGGAAAACTGTTGCAACATGTGGTACTCTGTATTTAAGCTTAATTATAGTCATTTCCTACACAATCGACCAAAACTGAATTATTAATCTACAATTGTTATGTCGTTCTTTCCGACGTTAGAATTATTCTATTTAACAAGAATGTTGGCGAGTTGTCTCTCGGTTGTTCGTCCAATATATCTCGTTACCCGCAAACTGTCATCTACATAAGCGCAAGGAACTTTAACATTAGAATGAACAGACCAATTTACCGTCTAATTTATAACCATTATTCAATAATAATTTTATCTTGTAATTTATACATCATTTTAAAAATAGAAGATAATTACTTTTTCATAAATTAGGCGTGCGTGTAAATAATTTTGTGGTTCATTATGAATGCAATTGAATTAATTCTACGCTGAAATATATGTTTCCTATCATAGAACAAAATTAGTCATATTCCATTATTCCCTTAAGAATAAAAAAATTAGCTAAGAAATTAAACGGTATTAATATAATAAATCTCGGGGGAGGGAGCTTCTTGGCAGACTAATCGCTTGGCAGATTAATCGCTTTCCATTGTCGTTGAACCAAGTATTATATCGCCATTTCTCACAATAGGCTACGGGAATAGCGAAAAATTTTGCAATAAAGCAAAGTTACGGAGGAAATAGAAGACCGTTTATAAAAGGGAAGACATAAAGTAGCACTTACGCAAACGGCACGCAAAGTCGCTATATTGTTGCAAGTTGTGATAAATCGGAGAATATGCCATAAATTCCTCACAGCGTAAATGTTCGATAATTAACAACTATCGTTTATTATCAGTCCATCCGAAACCCGCCCGTATCGCATTCCATCGCCATGTTTTTGTGAACGTTCAGTGCATTGTATTATATACACGAGAAAAGACATTTTCGGGTCATAAGTATTTTATGATGTAATGAATCTCACCGCTTGGTCCATAAACAGGGGAGCGATCAGGGTATATTATTTTATCCTTGTTGTTCATCGAATGTTAAATATATATAAAATGATACTCAAGTGCAATCGAGTGAAATTTTTAAACACAGTTTTAATAATAGGGATCAGAAAGTACATAATAATATCTAATGTACTATGTTTTACGTAATGGTGTTCTTAGTTGATTAAAATTGATGAAATTGAAAAACAACAATAATTTTAACAAACTCGTTAAATTATTAGTATTAATTTTAAACTAAAAATGTATTAAATTTTAATAAATATTTGTTTAAACAGTATTAACTAAATATTTATTAAATGTAAACGTATATTTATTTGGTACAACAATAATTTATAACTATAATTTTTTTCTCGAGTAAATATTTACTATAAATAAATGTGTACTACTGAAAAAAATACATTAAAATTTAATAAATTTTTTCTCAGTGTAATATTAAACAATTCCACATTGTCTGTCACATTGATCCCAGCGCTACAATTATCGTAATTAAGTTTAGAAATGGTCATCAAGAAAAAATATTGGAAGAATACGACAGGAATATGTAGAATTCTTCATAAATCTCCTGTTAAACTTCTTGCGTGATTGAAAAGAACATGCTCAAAGTGCGAGAGATATAAATGCGGAAATTCACGATTGAAGTATTGCTGCGGCTTTCACAGTCTGACAAAGACCGCAGTGTCGTGCAATAACCTGTGACCTTTACGATGTGCAGCGTGGACATTTACCATCATGTGTACCAAATGCAATGTAATTAAATATCCAAACACGCATGTTGGCACACTTTTTCTGTGTATTGATTGAACTTGTGAATGCAGCAAATGCAGAAAACACTGTCAACGTACATTACGTACTGCAACATGTAATGCAGAAAGTTTGCATTTTAAAGTTTGCCTATAAACAAAACGAGCATGATTTGCTAATTAATTTTATGTTTTCTATTTATTTAAAATTAATGTATGTATATATAACCAAATATTTATTGTTTAATAGTTCATTGTAATCTCGTGTATTGCAAATTCGCAGGGACAAAATGAAAATTGAAAGAGATGTCAAATGATTTTCTCCACATAAAAACAAAATAAATTATAAATTATAGATATGTTCAATAAATAGAGAATATAATTATAAAATTATAAAGTTCCATCAGGAAAATTACAAAATTCCATTGAGAATGTCATAGCATAAATTTAATTTACAATTAACGAATTGAAGTATTGTATTTTGTAGTATCAGTTTTCAGGAATTTCTTAATAATCTTTTTTATATCTTTTTCAAGATATAATATTTTTTTTCTCATATTATATAAAAAATCCATTTTAAGAAATATATTATCTTCAGAAAAGTTTATATCACAAATACTCTCAATGACGCGTTGGCAAATTAGTTTGATTATATCTGGCATTTTATATATATATATGCTGTTTGTTTATGCTGTATGCACCTTTAGCATGTTGAGAATTGAAAAAGTACAGTAAACACTTCCCAATGGAACCATTATTGTGAAATAGTCGCCATTCGATGCCTTAATTAATGTATTATGTATACGCAATGTATGTGGCATTCGGAATTTAACAGCTGTTTAGGATAAGCTAATACAGTGACCACAATGGAATGTAATGCATGAGTCGAGCTTGTTTGTAACTATAGATAATTAAACTCTTAGTTGTACTGTTTTAATTTGATTATCAAAGTAAAATTATATATGTAAGTCAGATATAAATGCGTATTATGCGTGCGAACGCAATGCAAGTAGAAGTCTTGCCATAATTACTACAATGTTATGCGATATACTATTTTTATACACTAAACAGTATGCAAATTGTTATTGATCGTGGAAGTTTTTCGTCGCATGTGTACATTTCGCACAATATTAACGATGTGCAAACATGTATTTCCTATGCACTGTTGCAATGTATTAAATTCATAGTATGCACATCTCTGTACATAGGAAAACACGAAAGGTCTTCTTGTAATAATTTATAGCGAAAACATGGTAGTGTACGACAAGAATAATTTTCATAATAAAGTTGATTAGAATATTATGATAAAAACTAAAGTTTTATTTTTTATAATAAATAAAAAGAAATAAATAAATTATTGTTCTTCTAAAATGTATCTTCTTGGTGTATTCTACTCAGTTCTACTTTATAAAAGACGATGTCTCACACTTGCCGATCGCGGGATGAAAAATTACGAAGCGATGTGATCAATCGCTAACGTCGAGTGCACTTGCAAAATTGACATGCAACGTAAATCGCATTGCACCAACGTGAGCAATAAAGTTGTCAGGTTTACGAGACTTTACGTAAAATGGCGGGAAAAAACGGCGACCGAGCCGAAACTACGACGATAGTCTGAGCTTTGACGCAAGTAGTAAAAGACAAGTCGAGTCGGACTCGAACGTACGTGCGAACGCTGGCAGCGACTTTCTGCCCACGGCTTATTTTCATTTTATTTGGACACGTTACCTTGACATCTTTACTATTACTGCTATAAATGTATTTGCGAGATATGTCTATGCTCGTAAATTTACTGCATATGTTGCATACGCTGTATACCTCTCAGCGCTTTCATTTTTAATCCTGCGAAGATAATCTACAACCTCATATCCGACATCGATTCTTTTAAGCGTAGTGAAATTTTTTTACTAAGATAGTTAAAGAAAATAATGTAGAATTTATCTGTAATATGTAATAAAAAAGAAAAACAATCTCATTAGAAAAATTTATATCATTAATCTAGTCATACCGATCTTATGAAAACATGTTGTTATTGCAAAAATAAAGATATTTTAAAATGTAAACATTTTTAGATATATTTAATAAAAATAAATAATTATTAATAATTATTTTTATATTATATTTCATTAATACATTAATAATTTTAAATAAAGAGTGTAAATGTTTTAATACGTTTAATTAAAAGTGTAGAGATATCAAAGGATTACACAATCAATAAAATGATCAGAATGAGTTTTCATTTTATACATGTTTCGAATAATGTTTCATATACCCATGTAATTACTAATATTCGTATCAACCTTATGTTCTGTCCTGGACTTTACAGTATAAAATATTAAATGTATATAAATTGATGTGCGAGACTAATTCTGTCTATTGACATGCACACGATAATAGATGTTATCTAGTATAATTTTTATATTTAGTATAATTTTTTAATTATGTTATCGTTTTACAGGTATCCTTTAGCGGAAACCGTACTTCCGGTACCTACACACCTCTCGTGGTTTCTGGAAACAGCCCGCCACGAGGCGAACCAATCTCTTTGGCCACTTTGGACCGTGACTGCTTTATTATACCTCTCGCTTCTCTCGAACGTTTTTTACCAGCCGGTGTACCAGTAAGTCAATAAAAAAATATACATGTGTTTTTTTAAAAAGAAAATATTACTATAAAGTTAGTGTACTATAGAATTAGTGGAAAGTAAACGCGCAGCATTATTCTTCCTTTCCAAATAATAAATATATCAAATGAATAATGCTCACCTTGTGGTTGCTCCGTTGCCTGATACCTCCTTGGCCTCTTCCTCTTCTCTTATTTCCTCGTTATTGCTCTTTTCCGACACAATATCTGTACATGCAAAACACACTAATTATTGTACATATAATCACGCACATAAACATAAAAAGTTAGAATACAATGATAACGCTGCACTTTGCATAGCATTTCCGTTAATCGCGACATTAATCGCACGTGACACATACTTTATATTCCCAGGGGATATATCATTTATTTGCTACAAAAAAAATAACAACACAATTAAAAACAAAGTTCAATTCTTAGAAAATGAATTTCAATGTTTTAAATTATTAAAATTTTTATAATATTAATTTTGAAATGCAACTTTAGTAATAACTAATTGTAGAAGAATAAATATATGTTCTTTATTTTTTCTTTAAGCTTCCGTTCTTTTTCTTCAAACAATTAAAAAATAACAATTTTTGTTGTTATAGCTGTGTAGCAAATAAGTGATATTTTAATTCGCATATCGTAGCGAAAAGAATTTTATAAAATTTTAAAATTTGCTAATTAAAATATCGAAGTATTGTAATATTCGAATTTTAAGTCATTGTAAAATAATGTCACAGTAAAGCAATGTTACTTAATATTTTCATTAAAGTATACATAGATTAATTTTAAATATCACAAGAAATTGCAAAGCAATTTATATAAATTAAAAAAATAAAACAATTATTCTTTTTTTTCAAGCGATTTTTAAATTTTAAAATTGATACATATAGTAAAATATAATTTATTGCTCCTTGCCCAATTGGAAAATATTAACCAAATATTACAAAAATGTTTAGTAGAATTAATAACATGTAATTATTAGGTGTTGGAATTAATTCGTAGCGTTTTACAAGTGATGGGAAGTACTTTCATTAATGTATTTTTTAATGCTCATGTGAAATAAATAACATTCTTTCATTAAAAACGCTAACCTAATAATTCTGAGCAAGCATAGCATTTGCTGAAATTAGAATAGTCAAGCTATTGGCCTTAGACTCTTACGAGCTGTGACCTTCCGTACAAACATCTAAAAATAGATAAAATATGTCTACTAGAAAAAGAGACTAGAGATGTCTAAAATAAAGCGTAATAAGTCATGATTCTGAAAAATGCTATTATTTAATAAAACAGTAATACAAAATTATATCTTAAAACTTGTAAAAAGAGATCAAATTTATATAAAAAATTTCTGCTAAAAACTATTTTTGCTTTTTTATTTACTCAAATAATAATTACGATTCACTTCAAATAATGATTACAATAAATAAAATTACAAAAATAAAATAAAATAAAATAAAATTAATAGAGTATACATAGATTATAAATTACGCGTAATTCTGTATTCTATTCCACTTTCTTTGTGGAGTACTCCAATTTAATTTTTATCGTTTATCAAAGCATGCTCCTGTCGCTGATAAGAAGAGACCGGGGAGTCCTCTGTCGGTTCTCGAGGTTGAGGACCCGAAGCAATGTGTTCTCGCGCATTTCATGACACCACTGGAACCTCTGGACCCGCTAATGGAATCTCCAGTGTC